TGAAAATTATGAAGATCTGAAATCTTATATAATTGCTTGAATTTTTGAACTATTAAAATCTTATTCGGATACTAATTTGATAAAAGAAATATAATAATGATAATAAGAAAATTAAAGCTATATTAAATTATATCTCGATTTTGACTATTATATTATCTATATTAATTTCTATATTTGATATAGTATTATTAATTGAATTAATTGGTCCGAATATATATATATATATATTATTTTGTTGAAATTCTTATTTATATTATATATATATCGAAGGCAGCAATAAAGAAATTAGAAATTAAAATATATAACAGAAAATAATTTTAAAATATATATAATAAAAATTAAATATTATTAATAAGTCGCGAAGTAGAAAAGCGAAAGCATGGAAATAGATAATAATAATTCGTATCCGAATATGAAGAATATAGAAATATGAAAGCGTGCGAAATTCCTCCTAAGATAAAAATCTCTCAATTTTAAAAGGAAGATTAAATCTTCGAGGCTCTTAAAAATTGCCGAATTAAGGGAAGAAGTAGTGAGTAGAATCGAGTACCTCGCGCAATTGTATGTAATCTATTAAAAAAATAATTTCATATTTTGTCGAATAGAAATGTCAAAATATACATCTTAGAAGTATAATCTCGCTTAATCGTTCATAATAATAATCTGCCGATCGAGGCCAATAACCCAAGATGATAATATGATCGCATATGAGACAGCCGGATACAAGAGAATAATGGGGATATCATGAAGTTAATTGCGCTCCTGATAAATAAATAAAAAAAGGTATTCCCAGACCAGGACCACAAATAAGAAAGAAAGGGTCGGGAATATAATAAAAAGACCTCCGGAAACGGATAGAATATCCGAAATAATTCTATTTATAAAGACTCGTGGTAATAGAAGTCTTCTTTTCTAATGATTCAAAAAAGCGTACGTTTTCTAGGTTCGAACGAAAACCTCGATAGCAGAAAAATCAATTTCGTCAAGAGATTCGCCAGCAATGCTGAATTAATCATAATGAAAAGTCTTCGACAAGACCCTATTCGGATCTAGAGAAAAAAGATGGTCGTATTAAATATCTAATTCTAAAGAAAAAAATCCGATATCTAGAATATCAATTTGGAAAATCGTCCGAAATTAATTTTCGATCAGAAATTTTCGAGAACGAAAGAATATCGGAAATAAAGATTCGATCTCGAAAAAATCTTCTAAGAATATAATAGCTTACAGAATCATTTCAATAATTTTAGTTTAATCTTTCCTTCTTATCAATAATAAAAATCGATTCTTCAAAAATCAAAGAAATCGTATAAAATAAAAATCTAAAGATTTTAATTTCGATTCTTCTTATCTACGATATATATTAATAATCCAAATATTTTCGCAATATTAGAGAAAAAAACGAAACGACTTTATATATTAAATATCTAATCTTATATCTAGATTAGTTTAATAATATAAAAAGTCCTTTCTAATTCAAAAGCGGGCTATATAGAATTATATGCCTAAATAATATAATATTATATTCATATAAATTGTGGATCTCTTAAAAAAGAATATGAGAAATATCTTCATCGTCGAAACATTATAGATAATCTTTTCGAAGAGCCGATTATTAAAGATTCTTATCTTGTAATCCATTTTCTTAAATAATTTGTCTATCGGCCATATTTGGTATTTCATAAATCAGTTTTTAATTTTGAGGCTTCGATTGAATGGGAATGGGGAGTTATCTGTATCGGTTTTGTCCAGCAAATCTAGGTTCTCAGTATCTTCTTTGTGTCATGAATAATTCGATCTATGCACTCACCACGCCACCGCGTATTCCAGGGTATCATGGCATCAGCCCGGCGGACCTTGCTTGCTTTGCGCAACAGATGCTAGGCAACCAGAACCTGTTCGAAGAAGCCACTTCACCTGCCTCTGCTGATAGTGACTGGTGCCACCCTGCAGAAAAATGCCCTAATCTAATGATTTGCAAGTGAATCAAAAAATTGAAGCTTGCAAATCCTGGCTACAGTGCACCATGAAATGCAACGGCATCAACAGATCCGAGACATTGTTTTGTGCTTGCTAGCACGACAACACAAAACGTGCTGTGATCGAAAGCCCAAAGTCAACCGAAGGATGACCATTTGGTACTGTACAATTGAAAGTTCGACTCTTCCGGTGCGAAAGGCACGAGTGGCCCGAATTCGTCTGCTAGTCTACTTGCAGACTTGCTTGACAGCACCCCTGTTCTAGAGTTTTTCGGCGAGAGATTTTGTATGCTTGCTGACCGACACGCACGCTGGCCGACTCCCAAATTCTGCACGAGTCTTGTTGACAAATGCCACACGGAATTATTACAACAAGAATAGGACTGAACATGTACTAGTAGGTCGTAGATGAGATCACACCCTGAGGCAGTGACAGCTTGCTGCTGTCTTTCCGGGGACCGGCGCCTTCAATGCAGAATGATGCTTCGCATAAGCTGACAAGCCATAGCTCCGCACAGGCAAACAGCCAGACCTACACGCCATCGTACCGGTCGAGGTGGCTCACCTCCTACCTTCAGCCATGGCCATCGCTGTCCGAGTTTTGCCGACATCTGCCTTCAAAGGCGTCCTTTTCTCAGCCTGGCACCTTGCCGATGGTCCGGTCGAGTGGGAAGGCCTTGCAAACCAACAAAGCGACATGGTAATAGAACTGACAAAGAGCAGCATCGGGAGCAGCCGGAGCAAAGCATGGATAGGTGAAGCAGCAATGAGGCAATGGGTGGCGAGCCATTGACACTGTATGGATGCGGAAGCAAGCGAGTCAGTGAATGGGAGCCATGGGATGCCGGTGAGGGAATGCCGGGTGAGGTTGTGGGGAACGAGTGATGCAGAAGCCCTCTTTCGTGCGGTGCCTTCGACTGGCTGGAAGTACTACTAATGGACAAGAGGTTCTCGCAATCAATCCATGTGCTGTGGGGCCTCGTACACCAAGCAGCTAGACTGCCTCGCCTGAGAGTTCCCACGCGACTCTCACAGGGACAAACATGCGGTGCTTTTTCTCAAGTCGGCCCCTTGCTGGATCTGCTGCCACCTTGTCCGGCATCCACACCCTGGCATCAAAGCGCAAGGCGTGAGTAAACTGGACAACTTTCTTCATGAAAGATTGCCTCACACTCGATATCCGAAACTGCAAGGGGGACAGCAGGCAAACCGAAGCTCATCGGGAGGGCTTAAAGGTTCTTCCTTTTTTCCAGCCCAAACCGCCTGCGATGCATCCCCTCCGACGACGAACACACTACATTGTGGTGAGTCACCCTGGCGACTTGCAGTGACTGGCTGACGGGGAGTCTTCGAATTCAACCGCGCATGTGTCTGAAGTACAAGAAAGCACTGACAATAGCAGTGTTGCGGCAAGAATGATGTGCCTTGCTCGGGGAGTGTAGATGGAGTGCTGGCGACATCAAAGAGCCAGGGAAGCGACAATCAGGCAAATTAGACAATCAGGGTCCGAAGCCACAGCACCATTGGGTGGGGTGCATGGGTGGGTGGCACTGGATGGACTAATCACTAGTCCAGCGCAGCAACAAATCGAAATGCTTCAAACGGAAATGAGCAGCTGTCGGCATGGGAACTACTCAGCGAGCCTGCTGGTTGCAGGGTCGATGTGGATTTCCACACGATCCTTCAATCGAGCAATGGCAGGGGTGAACCGCAGACACTCGGGATTCGGTTCGGCCGCGCACCTCGGACTGCGACACTGCTCTGCTGAGTGCATCCTGAGAGCCAAAGATTTCGCACAGCCCAATCCCCCCATTCATGCCCCCCCCTGCTGCTCACGCCTGCAGAGCGGGGGCTAGGCTGGCCCAGCCACGCTTTGTGGTGTGCACCTCTCAGAGTGCCGGTACAGCAGTTGATGCATCTGATTTCTCAGGAGGGTTGGCCTGCCAGTGTCCTTTGGCCTGGGCCACATGGAAAGATCTGCTCCACGTGGGTCGGCGCAAGTCCAGTACAAAGTGCCGGACTGGGAACAAGGTCGGCAGTTGCTGCGCCAGCCTTCGACACGAGATTGAAAGGTATCACAAACATATCCCATCATCATCCCTTGTCAACAAATACCTTCTGAAATGGAGAGAGCGCACCCTCCGCACACGCTGGGATGTGACAGCAAAGAGCCTGGCTGCAAACATCTTGCTCCGAAGAAAGAGCACGCCACGTCTATTGACAAGCACTGGCCCAACCAAAAGCATTGACGGCATTGTGTCAGGCGAGCTTTTTCTAGTGCCTTTCCGAAGTCAATCACTTTGCACAGCTACCGCTTGATCAAGGTGGCATGATGAGTTGCAGGTTACTTTGCTCATGCTGAGCTGTGCTCCTGAAGACTAGTCATGGATGAAGCAGTGGAAGCGCAAGAATCCAGACTTTCCATTCAAAGATCGTACACCAATTCGAAGCGCGTCTGCCTCTCAGAGGAATGATTCGTCTGATGCAGTGTGCTGTCTCGGCTTGACCACTCCGACACTCTACAGACTTTAAGATGATGCTCGTGTAGGGAGTCTTGCAAGCCGCCTGCTGCGACTGCAAAATTGAAAAATCAGGAGAAGCAGGTCACCACGAAATGAAAGCTGAGTACGGCGTTGACTCACCAAGACCACTGGTTCCACCGGAGAAGAGGCGGCGATCCCACGGGTGGAACCTCACTCGATTTCACTGACTCTCACCAGTGCAAGCTTCTGAGCGCGCTGCTGCAAGAGCTCCTGCTCCTGGCTGAATGCTGCAACAGCCGTGGACACGTCAATCAGAGTCCCAAGTCCCAAGATGTCCATACTGGACTGTGAAACTTTGTTCCGCACTCCCGCTACCCAAAATTCTGGAAACTCACTCCTCCTGCAACTGGAACTTGGCTTCCTCTATGAATGGCGCCTCGGCTTCGCTGCTGCAGCTTTCGAAAACAAGAGACGAAGCGAAGCTGAGCCAAGCCGAAGCCTGAGCGTTGCGCCATGTAGGGGATCATAGGATCATAGTTCCTTGCAGGGAGCAGCGAAGGACAGACCATTTCGGGGTTCAAGCACTCGGGCTCGAGCTGCTCTGCCAGGGGCAGGTGCAGCTTCTTGGCGTACATCTCCTGCGCCTGGAAGAGCACTTCTGGGAGACAGCACATTCAAACGATTTCCTTCGGCGCAGTTTGCAGCCAGGCCACTCGCATCAAGCGGCGGTAACGGCCCACCATCAAGTCGTGGGGCAACAGCTCAAGGGCTCGTTCAATCACGGGCTCCTCGCATGTCTAAGCCTGTGCGCATCTACGCAACATAGCACAAACGGACGGCGCGCCTTATCATTGTGCTGGTCGTCCTGGAGCTTTCTCGCAAAAGGCTCACGTGGTGTGAGGCAACCTATCTCTCTGTCCTGCATCAGTCCGTAGCCACGAAGCTCCGCAACCGTGTGCTCATACCTCAAGTGAACGTGCCTAGTGCTCAGAGCCTGCGACATGCACCGTCGCCGCATGGACTCTAGCTTGGTCCGACGCACAATGCTGTTGCGCATAGCGTGCTCTGTCCACGTCTTTGACGGTGTGTTCGAGGATTCTCGACACAGGTCTCACTGAGTTGGATGGTTTGATCTCCAAAAGAGACATCGCACGAACTCGGCATACTTCTAGGCTCGACTATACAAGACAGTGAGAGGGGGGCCCCGGGCCCAGCCCCCCGGCGACTGTGACTGACTTTGAGGCTTCGGCTGGTAGCGCTCAAAGGGGCCCTTCACGTACTTGAACCAAACAGGGTACACCGACTCCTGGGCACAGACGCGCGCATTTTTTGGAGTGCAGATAGCGGGTTTAGGGCTTGTCATGACATGGCAAAGAGCTAAGATCCCAAGCCCTGCAGAACTTCTGCCAGGGGCTGAGAGGCATCGGCTCGTGGTACCTTGCTGAGCAAAGTTATGGCAGGACAGTCTATCACAGCTGTAGGCTCAACGATGGAGGCACCAGGGGACCACTGCGCGCTCCACAGCCATCTGGCGAAGAACTGTTTTGCTCAGAGCACGGTAGAACGACATCCTCGTGGTACAGGGAGCGTATGGACGAGCACGGAACACGCAATGTTAAAGCACAATTGAATGGCCTGGGCTGCACAGAGACCGACGCACTAGGAACGGCAGTCAAGGCGAGCTTGGGCCAAGGAGCAGAACCGTCAGCCATGTCTGTTGACAGAGACTTGGCAAGAAGAAGGCTCTCCACTGTAAAGAAAGTGGCAAGTCATGAAAGCAGAGGATGCGGATGCGCCTCCACCGTCATTACTCCTGTGAAGATGCACCAAAACGAGCAGGCGGATCTGGGGTTCTCACACATGCGAGGACTTTTGCGGGGAGTGTGCCGCTTGCGTTACACAAACGCCTCGCTTTCCCCGAAAGTGGCTGAAACCCCATCCAGGCATTGGCGACTCTTTGACCCCGAAGCTCGAGAAGGTAGCTGAGTCTCGAGGCGGAAACAGCGGAGCGCAAGTGAAACCCAAGGCGAGGGTCTGTCGTCTGCTGGTCTAACTCGCATCTGGTCCAGATATCGGAAGCCTGCAAACTGTCCAATAGTACTGCTCTATATCAACGCGAAACGATCACTTTTGCAGAGCACAGGCCTGGTGCGGAGCAGCACGTTGTGCATGTTTGGGCCCGTGACTCTTCGACTCTGAAAGCGGAACTGCGTGCGCCGAGCTTCCGGTGCACCGAACGTATCCGGCTTTCCACAGCACCATCGCCCCATGGCTTCTTGCTCTACTTTCACAGACTACACAAAATCCTTACAGCTTCGCAGAACTGGTATTCAGACGTTTGTGTATGATGATCTGCCTAATTCTGCTCAGGAGTCTGGCTAACAACAAAACCTCAAAGGCCATTTAGGCCCTTTAGGCTTGTCAGCAGAGCAGGCAAAGCTCGGCAGTGCCGAGACCAAGCCATGTGGATGCCGTAGACCAATAGCAATGCAGGACTTCTGTACAGGTCAGCCGCAGCTTTTGGAGCTATTTGTAAATAGACTCATTGCTGGCTGCGTGCGCACCCATCCTTGCGTCGGTTCGATATGCTTAATCTGTCTGTAATAGGAAAGAAATGCCAGAAGAAGGAAGCTTGTGAAGCTCCCGTGACCTCTGCAAGGGCATGCGGGGTTCAGATGCCAGAACCCCAGAGCCCTCGGTCCCAACCTGAAGAAAAAAAAGGCAAGAACTGAAGTAAGGGAAAAGAAGCCTTGTTTGCAAGCACCGGCATCCGTTGGACAGGGGGCTTCAGGTTACTGCGCAAACTCAGCTTTGCAGTGCCGACCACTTTGCTTCAAGTGGAGCTAGGCGTCTTTTCAAAAATTCCCAGGGCTGAAACCACTAGTGCCGAAGATTCCAGGGCCCACCAGATGCTGTGTCCAAAACCTGGCCTGCATTGTTGCTATTTGTTGCTCGCACATTGGATTCCCTGGAGTTTTCGGGACACGTGAAGCGGCTATATATCGGGATCGTCCACAGTGCAACTCATCAGTCGCCGTCGGCCCCCTCATCCTCAAACAGCCAAAGGCGGTGCTGCTCTCTCCCACAGAGATTCTGTCATTCGCTCGACAAAGTACGTCAGCTACAACTACGTCCTCGGGAGAAGGATACATATTATGTGTTATGCTGACAATTCGTGAACTCGCGGGGCTGAGGAATGTGGGTTGCAAACTACGCGCTGTCGTTCCCCCACTGACCTTGCTCCCGCAAAGGCCTCGCGTCGTCGGCTGCTTGCACCCTCCTTTGACTGGTAGTTCCTCGATGGTGCTTGCAGCTTCTCAGCACTGCAGCTCCGGGCCCTTGAAACTTTCGCTTCTAAACAAGGATGCTCCAAGCTAAGGTGCAGGATGGTCCAGTCGAAGACGAAGTCATACCTTGAGATGCGCATGTTGCGCAGCACGCTCGAAACTCTAGGTATAGGCTGGATGGGAGAAAACCGTGGACTGTCTGCATCGGGCTGCTGGTAGCCTTCCCTGAAGAATAGATCCTTCAACAGTCGACGCAGGTAGGCGTAGTCCGGCCGATCTTCAAATCGCAGGCTGCGGCAGTAGTTCAGATATGTGGCCTTGGAGGTCATGCGGCAGTGACACCCGAGGCAGCCAGGCGGGAAGGAACTTTGCAAAAGAAACCGTGAGGCAAGTTGCAAATTCACAAGGGAAGTGCTTGCACAGGACCTCGAGAGGGAAAGCTGCAGTGCAAACAAGGTGTCGATGAGCTCAGGCCCTGTGTGTGCCTCGATGGGTGTGGACATCTTCTTTTCCATGATCTTCTCATATTTCCTGAGCTGCGGGTAGATTCACACGGCCGGTAGCAAATACATCATTTAGCATGTGAGCGCCGACTAAATTTTGAAATGGTCAAGGTGCTCCTTCTTGGAATTTGCCTTCAAACCCTGCCAGGGGAGGCTGCCACGGTTGAAGTACATGAGTACCTTCGGGAGCACTCAGCCGACAGTCAGAAATCAGAAATCTGCGTGAAAGATAGAAAAAAAAGACGAGGCTCATAACCGACGGCTTCTAGGTCATCTCGCCGACTCTGCTCGATGCCCAAGTGCGTGTTGACCTTGGTCTGAAATCCAATAGAGCCGCAACAGAGCCGCTAGCTCTGTTGAGCTCCCGACACTGGCGTATCGCGCGGTGCCCGTCAGCGCCTTGTTCTCTCTGTAAGGAATGTGCTGCTGAGTCTTGGGATCCCTGTCACGGGCGCGGCGCAGCGCGGAAATGGGGCGGGGAGAGAGTGGACTGTGGACTCCGGCCTGTACTTTTTCGCCAGGCCAAAGTCGATGATGTGGACCTGGTTGGCCTTCTTCCCCAAACCAATCAGGAAATTGTCGGGCTTGATGTCCCGATGGATGAAGTTCTTGGCATGCATGTACTCCACCCTGAAGCGAACGCTTGAAGACTGCAAGACAGCTACGCTCACGACTCGAGTTGTGGAAAGGCAGCAAGCCTGTTGATCATCTGGTCGGCCAGCATGAGCGTAGTCTTGAGACTGAATTTCCTGTTGCAGAAGCTAAACAAGTCCTCGAGCGAGGGCCCCAGCAGGTCGATGACCTCAAAGCTCCAAAACCCAGTTAAGGAATATGTACAATAGAGACAGAGTGAAGAATCAATACACTTGTATGGCCTTGACCTATTGAAGGCTAGAAGTTCCAAGCCAGCCGCCATAACATTGTAGTCGCCCTCTACGCCATACCAATGCACGTTTGGCACACCAACGCCTCCTTGGAAGCTCACGAAATTCACAGGCCCTTGCCCAGGTGGCCCCAGATGACGACGCATCTCCTGCCAGGATCTTGTAGAGCTTCGACTCCTTAGGTCAAGCCCCTAGCCGCCCAAAAGGGCCGGCGGATGGAAACTCGAAGCTGCACGTGTACCACCGAGGCTCGTAAAGTAGCTGCGGATGCTTGGACTTGATGGACTCCAGCTTGATCGCTACTTCCTCGCTGGTCTGCACCTGCAAACGACGAGCAGAGGTAATGAATTCTAAAGCCTCATTGGTGCAGTCTCATAATTTAGCTGGGCACGTTGGTTCCGATGTAAATGTCGCCGAAAGATCCGGATCCGATCTTGCGCCCAAGGCGAAACTTTCCTCCAACTCGAAGCTCCATGGTCCAATGGTTCTTGTGCTTCTTTTGCAGGGAGACCTGCCAGATCACATCCGGCAGTCCCTTCTAGGCCCCCTGTCCTCCCCCCCCCCCCCCCCCCCGCCGAGTGCCTTTTGAGTCGGTCTCTCGAGCGGATTGTGCTGTGTAGAATGCAGCACCCTCTGTGAGCCAGAGATGGCATGTGGCACGACGGCAGATGCACACCCCTTCATGCCGTGGCAATGCTGATTATGGTTATGCCTTACGCTGGAGCCGCTGCAATATCTCTCCACATCTGATCTGCTCTGGGCTCTGCCTGTGACGGGACTCTTCACTCTCGGCCATTGCGCTGTGGCCCAAACTGTACAACTCGTCGCTTCGCACACGCTTGGTCCTTGAGAGGCCGAGTCAGTGGGAGCCGTTCTTCTAAGGCTACAAGGCTATGCAGGGAAGCTGGAGGAGGCATCATGTAGAACAGGTGACTTTGCTCATGCAAGTACTCTTGCACCTTTCCTGACCACAACTGAGCCAACAGCGAAAATGCGTCGAGGCAATAAGGACAGCAGGGTAACGCGCGTGTGCAGCTACAAACTCCTGGCCAGAATGCACTTTGCCTAGAGCCATCCTTCCAAACAAAAGTGTGTTCTAAACTTAAAGCGTACATTAATACGCAACAGCTGATCAAGAACATCGGATCTTCTACCACTCCAATTTTTTCTGCTACTGCTACTGCTCCTGCTCCTGCTCCCGCTCCGGCTGCTGCTGCTGCTGCTGCTGCTGCTGCTGCACTACTACTATTACGACGAGTACGCCGAGTACGACGAGCGAAGACTACGACTGATCATGGGGGAGAATAAGGAATGTGATGCCAACAATTGATCCGAAGAAGGCCCCTGGACCATATGCACCCCCAGTCGACAAAGTGACCATGATGGATCGGAGAGTCATTCGAGCACAGCGGCAAAGACAGCACCTTTTCACGGATTTCTCGTGCCCTGCATGTGCACTGAAGCAGATTCTTGCAAAACCGTCGTAGTTGACATCAGTGCAACCGATGATGCATTGACACGTCTGCAGAAGAAGCACTTCAAGCCTTTGCACACCATACATGAGAGGGCCACTGTCCAACCTAGCACGGAGCTGTTTTTCAGCTCCTGCTGGGTGAGACCTTCTACCAAAACAATGCACCTGAGTACTGCAAGGGTGGAAAATCGTGCCTTGGACCAGCCTCAGGCACCCTTGCATAAATAACTCGTGCCGCACAGGAAGTGAAGTGTGGGTTCTAGTGACTGTACTGTCACAGGGACCTAACAGACGGCTCGCCTTCCGTGTCTACACAAAGCATTTCGGCACGCCTCCCTTCTGGAACTGAGCTACATGGTTCACATCTTGTGCATCTGCTCAGAACGCCAGGCACCTCCCACAGAGTTTCGGGGTTCAGTTTCGGATCGGCTGCCGCGGTTCTCGGATCCGAGGGGGAGAGTTTCGGCACCCAGTTTCGGCACAGCGGGAGTCAGCTTCGGGACGCGGGTCTGTCAGTTTCGGGGGGCGATGTGGGCAGTTTCAATCCGAGTCTTATCGATTCTTGCAGGCCCGGGCCTAAAACTGACCATACCGTGAGACCGAAACTGGCCATGTCCTGATCCGAAACCCATGTGCCGAAACTCCACCCCGAAACTCAGCACCGAAACTAACCCGGAAAATTCTGAAACTCACAACTTCCGAACACACACATGCCAGAGCTGAGGTGGTCCACTCGAACTGTCTGATCGTTCTTTTGGACGTCTGTTGGGGACACTTTGCAGGAGCACTCACCATACTGATGTAGTATTGAGATCGCCTCCTGCGCAAACTGCTTCTGCACCACATCCAGATCTGCGAAGGAGGAATCTCAAACACTGCCGGCCTCGCATGCCATGCGCCGTGGGCGTGTGGCTTAGGAACACCAAGCCCTCCTAAAGACCATTCGTGCCTCAAGATGCTCGCTTGATGCGGCCGCCACTTGTGAGATTTTTCTGAATGAAATCATTGCGAAGCATTTCCCGGTACTCCTCCCACAGCTCACTATCATCAGCTGAACAAATCTCATGGACAGTTTTGGTCCTCGAAGGATCCTTCAAACACGGTGACCCTTCCAGGCACATCCTGGCCACAAGGCTTCAGGTTGAAACCTCTATATATCGCTTTAGGAGGGGGAGCCTTCGACTTGCCCGGAGTCACTACCCAGAGCTCGTCTGCAACCATGGAGAGCTGAGCGAAGCAGGCCCCAGAATGCAAAAGCACAGGCTTCAGATGCAGAAAGCCTCCAGTTCGGGTGACACTGCTGCAACTATCAAAATTCAACATATGAGCACCGCACTAGTCGATCGTCGTGACTGACGAGAACCACGCCTCCCTGCCATCGACAGATCATGCTACACTGCGTCTGTCTCTGCCCAGCAGTAGACAAGCTGGCCTCGAATTTGTTCAGCGCCATTGCAAGGCCCTCGATTGTTTCGAGGTCCAAATGGTTCCTCACGCACGACAGTTGCTCTCCTACACTCTGGCTTTTTCAAGGAGCGAGGCATCGGCGTCGGCTCGTCCAGGAGCATGATGTGAGGAGCAGACCTGACAGAAGCTCAAGCTGCGGCGATGCTGCACTCCCCCCTCGCGCAGCGCACCAGGCAAGCTCCGCGAAGGCTAAGCGGCTCTTTTGGCCGCCGCTCAGGAACCTAAGACTGCGGCGGCCCCAAACTCTCGGTTCCCACAGGATGCGCTGTAAGGCAAAGGCTTCACCGGCTGGAGGGCAAGGTCGCCGTGCAGGCCGAAACGGCCAAGGTATTTTCGTGCCTGTGCCAGTCTCATGCCAAGAACGAGTCCGTGCCTTGCAGAATGTGGCCTCCTCAATGGTGACCTCGCTGGTCCCATCCTGACAGACAAGTCGTCGCACCTATCAGCCCAAAACTCTGCCTGCATTGTCCCCATTCAATACAACGTCGGTATGCTGCAGTGCAGCAGATTGCCCCAGCAAGATGCTTAACGGTTGATGTGCGGACATTCCCTGCGCTCGTATGCGCGCACGAATATGCGTCACTAGCGGGTTTACATATTAGGATCAAAGCGGAAAGGCCCATCCAGGCTCATTGACCTCTCTGGGTCAGATGTATTGAGAAGTTCAATTCAATTTGGTTCCCCTTGGCATTAACAGGGGCCGTGCGGACGCCAGACAAGACCCTTCTGAAAAAAATCGGATATGTCTGACCCCTGCCTCCTTGATACCACCAGCTCCGAGCTTGCGCATGTGAGTCACAGCATCAGAATCCTCTAGCAGACGTGCTTGGGCTTGGGGATTTTACCTTACAGTGGGCTCAGACATCGAAGAGCGATTCTTGGGGATCGGCTGGATCCATCATCTCGATATGATGCTGTGTGAACCTACCACATGCTTGGTCTCAGCAGGGTTACTGCGACATAACGGTGGGCCTTGCCAACTGGAGCTTGGCATGTCTCCTGACGTGGCAAGGTGTAGAACTTGCAGCCACACAGCATTCCCACAGAGGCTGCTCCTGACAAAGCCGTGGGTTGGCTCCAGCGAACCATCCAGCAGCTTGAGGAAGGTGGACTTACCTCTACGACACTACGAGTGCACATGGAAAGAATGCAGATCTCGCTCGAGGCTCCGCCTGCACCGTTCGGCCCAACAATTGCAACCCGGGAGTCACAGTCCACCCCGAAGTCGAGGTTCTGCGCAAGTCGTCTGCAAATCGTTTTCTGAGTGCGCGGGCTTCCATGCCTCGTAGAGTATTCGGTCCGGCGTATAACCGAATGCAGCTTCGATGACCGAGATACCTGGCCACCAGGCCACCAGCCGCCCACACTTTGCTCGCTCTGCCATGCACGGATAAAAACTCGGTGCCGCGCATGGAGGTGGCAGAGCGGAGGCGGCTGGAAAGTCCAGCTGCAGGTACGGATCGTCATAGTCTGCAACAGATGGGAAACATCACGAGGATGTGCGGCTGCAAGAAAGCCCACCGACTGCTACTGCTTCTTCTTGCAGCTTGGTCAGCATCTTCATTCGGCTTTGTGCCTGCCACAAATGCCGGTGCATTGTGTGGACCAGCCGCACAAACAGCCATACTCAGCCCTTTTCTCCAGGGGTCAAGCACAGGCGCATAATGCGCATAATGCTGTCAACGCTACCCACGCTGCTAGTCTGTGCAAACATCTCGATCTGCAATGACCTCCGGGATTGCACAGGAGCGCTCCTGTGGCGACCCCGCGCCTCCTGCGAAGCACCCCGCTGTGCTGGGACTTGGCCATGCTTCACGCGGCGCTATGCAGGTCAAGGAAAAACAGATTCAATGCTCGCATTTCACCGCACAAAAGGCGGTTTGCACTCATGAGGACGCAGGAGTCTGCATCGCGGCGATATCCACCTGCCAGCAGCACAGAAGACGTCACGACAGGCTGAGACTTCCTCGGCCATCGGCCTCGGGCGATCTCAGGTGCCGCGATTTCACGTAGAGCAGACAGCCCTGGCAAATCCGCACCACTGCGCGCGACACAAGAACATGAGACAACCTGGAGAAGCTTTTGACTCTCAGATCTCGCTGAAACCGGTCCTCTGGGCCGGAGGTGCGCTTCAGGCGCTGCTTGTCGCCAGCATTTCCTCAGCGTCCATGAAAGTCAGAGCACCATGTGTGCCTTCTTCGCAAAAAAGACTCTGCAAGGCCCCGATAAAGCACAGGAACCCCTCCTGTACACACGGACAGGCCGTTAAGAAAGAAGGTAGTCCTGTGGGCCGGTTGCGAAACATTGCCAAGGTGTGAGCCGTCATTTCCCTCTTCCGGGCACTGCGGAAACGGGGGTTTAACTGATGCCTGCTGCTGGTGTCGGCTACTGCCTGTGCCATCTTAAGTCTCTGACCGGAGGTGAACAACTGGAGGCAGAAAAGGTTAGTGTGGGAATCACAGCGGCACCAACTGCACCCTGCCTCGAAACCTTCCCGACACCGCCAGTAAGGGGGCCCAAAGTAAGCTTGAACCAAGTCTCGGCTCCAGGACCATGTTCGGTGCTCGCCCAACTCATCCGTGAAGGAGCCTTCGATCACGAAGACCTCCTCGCCGGTCTCCGGTATATCAACGTCTCCTGTTGACACAAGGCTCTGGCTGCACAAAGCCAGTTCCGAAAGCACGGCCTGATTGATTCGGCTGCCAACGCTCAAAGTGGACCTGAGAGCTCGCGCGAGCACCCCTAGCGCGGCCCAGAAGCAGCACAAGACTCCTTGCTGATCCTGTGCCTCCTCTAGAGGAGACTCGAAAACATTCAGCAGCCGTCGCCCACTGATCGAGGAGCAAACCCTGAGGCTTGCAAAGAAGCACGCGGCATTTTTCACTGAATCGGATGACGGTGCCTCCAGTTTGTGTTGGACTCGGAAATATCCCACTGAGAGTGGTCGGGCTCCTTGTGCTGCTCGGACATCCTTGGCTCGCACCAGCCTATCAAGGGGTCGTTTTTTGTAAAGTATATTTCTGTCTGTGGCTAACAACGGCTGTTTTTCCTGTCAACCGCGTCTTTTTTCTATGGCTTGCGCCTTACGGTTTAGGGTTTCGGCTGTATTGTCTAGGGCATCGGGTGAACTTTGTGTCAATCACGTCTTTTTCTGGTTTTAGCCACACCTGGGCCATATGGTTGGGTTTAGGGTTTGGGCTTGGGGCTTCGGGCTTCGGGATAGACTTTATGTGATTGGGTTTAAGATTGCCGGCGTTTCGAAAGCCCGCTTGGGGAATTTGGTATCACCTCACCATTCCGGAATCCCGTTTCGCTTGTGATGCTTTCTTGTTGAAAGAAGTTAAACAAAGTCATAATATAGTCGATGCTGCAAAACAAACTATTTTTGGAAAACGGTTTTCAGTACCACCGGATGGTCAGGGTTTCTGGTGGCCGAAGGGCGAAAACTCAACACAAACAAATTGTCGATGTTGACCACTATCCTTTTGGAAAGATGCTTTCAAGGAAAGAACTTGGTGGCCAGGGCGGCCTTGGCCACAAGAGACCCGCAACTCACTCACACTGGCAAGTGGTGCGTCCCTGCGTCCGACTGCCATGCAAGCCTAGAAATGCCGAGTACTGTGTTGACGCGGCTAGAAAGCAACAGGCCCAAAATCCTAAATCCCAGACGTCAACATCTAAACTTTCTAAACCCTAATTTTTGTTGCCCATGGTGTATGGTGAGGCGAACTTGGCCTTGTATGCTAAAGTTGCCAAAATTAATAATGACTTTAGCTTGGGCGTGCTAAATATAAACCTTAAATCCATCAGCCTAAATCCTAAACCTGACGCCTAAACTTTAGATGATCCTAACCCTTAAGTCCTAAGCCTAAACCCCAATCATTCACAGAAGAAGAAAACATGTTTGGGATGTAGGAGTCAGGAACAGGGTTTGGGCCTTAGGAAGGACACAAGGACGATAAGAATTCTCTGTGTGTGTATACATGGGTGCATACGTGTGTTTGTGCATGTATATATACATATAAAAGAGTATGTGTATTGTACATGTCTATATTGGTTTTGGAGTTGGGGGTTTAGGTTCGGGTTTGGTGCTCAGTCTTCGGTACAGGTACAGTTAAACGTTCCGGGGGTAGGATTTTGGATTCGGGGTTTAGGATTTAGGCTTTGTCGGCTTTCGTGTGTGTGTGTGTGTGTGTGTGTTGGTTGAATGTTTTTCTGTGCTAGCTGCAACTCACACTCGAGAGCCGTCGTTGGGGCTTTTTGAGCGTTGGGTTTCCGGTGTTAGGATGTGTAGGATCAAGTTCAAGGGATCACCGAATCGGGGGCAGGGTGGGGTTTCGGGTTGCCGAGTTCCGGTTGTGGGCTTCGGGCTTTTGGGTCTGGTTTAGACAGGGCTGGTTGAGAGGGTCCTGAAGAATCGATAGCAAGCGGAAACAACACAGTTGATGAAAAAGGCTCTGAAACCCCAAAACAAAAACAGAGTTGACGGAAACGGGAACGAATTTGACGAATGTCACAAGCAACAGAACGACACAGTTGACGTGCTTGCCTGTAGCGCATCCGCCGTCAGAAGACAGCTGCTCCAATCGGGAAGCATGGGAAGCAGTGTATGATTTCAGACAGCCATTTGGACAAGCTGCTGGCAGAGCTTGACCAAGATGGTGCAGCCTTTCGGCCCAATGCGGGGTGTGTGCTTGGAACCGATGTAGTTGCGGACATACGTGTAGGCCGGCTGAGTGGCCCAGTCGTCGTACCAATCGCCCTGTAACACCAGGAACTCCTCACAGTGATTGGATGCAGGCTTGGTCGAGTGTCTTGGCTGCCCCCACCTCAGGAACCGATGCCTTACAAGCGGGTTTCAACTGCCCTGTCCTCTCCGCCCCTATGCACATGTGCAGGGAAGGAAGCATTGGGCTGAAAGTTGACGACTGTTGTGGCTCTAGCCACTTCTCCACCAATCCTGGGCACACTCATCAGGACTGCCCAATTCTGTCAGCACTGCGAGCTCTGCACATCTCTGCACCATGCACATCCAGGAACCTTTCTATCATCTTGCGCCGAACTCCACCCGCAGCGGTCTCAATCCAGTTCACAGAATCAGTGTTAACTAGACCTTGGTGCAAAAAACTATGCGGGACCAGCAACCACAAACGTTTGACTTGGGACTCTTGTTTTTTCTGTGCCAGGGTCATGCATGCATCCCAGGGACAGCTTTGTGACCTCAGAATGACACACAACATCGAGTCCTGGAATACGTGGGTTCTGTCACTGGAATTGAAAAAGCTTGAATACAGGCACGTAACTTGTCGCTGTTGAGCTCGATCCACTGCTGCGCCTGCCATATGCTGACCGCCGTTGTGGAGACATTGGGTGGCACAAACACGACGTATACATCTTACGCACTTCAAGGTGCGCTGCCTTGCTGCTCTTCAAGAATTGGTCCAGCGACTGCTCAGCGCGACTCTCGCAGCGAGCGAAAGACCTGCCAAAGTCAAGGGGAGCGGGGCTACACGTCCGGGCCATGGCGCCTGTCGAATCGACGGACCACAAGCGGCGCCGCAGCCACAGAGGTAAGAGCCAGCACGGGCCGGATTCGCAACAGGCGTGGTGCCCGGCTCATTTCACCTCCGTAACAGAAGTGGGGTTGCGAGATGGCAAAGAAGCTACTCCCTCCGAGGAAAAGCAGTCAGAGAGTTGAGTCGAAGCAAAACCCGAGATTTCTGTGTTTCTCAGCCACGTGGAGATCTGAGGAGTGGTGCGGGAGCGTGGCCTCGTCTCAGTGTCCCAGTGTTCCAGCCAAGGCGGCTCTTTGAGAGTCACGGCTGCAAGGAGGAGCAGAGTGCCGGGACGCAGGTCAAATCCGTGTCATGAAAGGACAGGTGTGCCCAAGGTCGAAGCGATGCCTGCTTGGCCATCTTTTTGTGGCCTTGCCCGAAGCGTTGGATGAACTGCTTCAGGTTCGCCACCTGCAGGAGGCATCGTGCCAAGAGCACAGATCACACGACTAGGACCAGGAATATTCAAGTCTCGGACTTTCCTTTGCTGCTGCTGGGCAATAGCCTGCAAGGAGCAAAACAGGACAGAGTCACGCAGAAAGCTTGTCGTCAGCTGGCCTCCTGATTTGTCCGCTGCTCTGCTCGGACTCGAAGGAATGTCTCGTAATTACCACCATAGTACCATAGCCTGATCACCGAATGTCAGGTCTAGGCCATAGCTTTGCAGAAAAGGAGGCCTCTTGCGGTGCAGAAAGACAGTGTTGGATGTAGTATTGTTCAAGAAGCACCTGGCTGGCGGACTTTGATCTTCTGACCTCGCTGGCACTCGTCCCGGGCCTGTCATGAGAAACGACCACGACGGTCTTCTCCCAGGTCTTCAAAAACTCCTAGCAAACCAAGAAAGAGCGGCTTGGCACTCTCCGCCCTCTGCTGCACTCGGGCCTCGAGCCAGGTCACCGCGTGGACGTCCAAGTGGTTCGTCGGCTCGTCCAAGAGGAGCAAATCTGGCTGCACCTCGGCGCTCCACGGTCGGTTTGTAGCGGTTGTAGCGCACTTCTCAAGAGCCTGTGAAAGCCGCCACAAACCTCTGAGACTTCGGCAAAAAGCGATTGCGCCAGTGCAATTCGCATGCGCCAGCCCCCGCTGAACTCTTTAGTCGGCCGCTGCTGGTCCTTGGGAAGTCTTTTTTTGGGTCTTTTGCCAGACAAGACTTAAACGTCAGGGAGGGCGGCGAGCTTTTGCCCCGGCCTCCCCCGAGAAACCAAGCCCGGCCAAAATTACAGCCGCTCGAGCCTCAGCTGATGGTCGGAGAACAGCGACGGAAGAATGCGGGGCCCCGCTTGCGCCTCGGCATCATCGTTCCCCAGCTCTTCCAACCTTTCGTAAACCTCACGTTCTTGCCAATGTGTTCCGATGTACAAATATGGTCACGTGGGCGCATGCCGGTGGCCTCCATCAATCCGACACCGCCCACCTCTGCTGTGTAGCATGTCTCTTGCTGCGTGGAATAGCTTTTGCTGACAACAGCTTCCTGCCTTCGGCTCCTGGCCGCTCCCATCGTCCTCCTTTTCGAGCAACTCCTTTTTGGGGTCACGGTCAGAGCCGAAGCTTTCTCGGCAGCAACGGCCAAAGCTGGCCTGCTCAACCTTGAGCAGCCACTCACGCTCCTGGTCAGCCTTCGGAGAGTGAAACTTTAGTGTGAAATCGAAACTGGTGATAAGTCTGTGCTAGCTCACCGTGCCGTCTAGCGATGCTGGCACGTAGTCGGATTACTGACTAAAGTACGCAAAGCCTTCACCCCAGCTGGTGGTACGGTACGACTAGAGCTGTTCCCAGGGAAGGAGACATAGCTGGCAACATCCTCGTCCCGGCCTGCAGCACACTCTGCAAAACTGGAGTGTCATCGCCTTTGATTTCCTGGACAATGGCGCTGCGAGCGGCTGGGTCGTCTGCGAATATGGCGAATATGGTATGCAGGCACAGGCAAAATGTCCTGTTCGACATGCATAATCATGAAGTGCTGTGGGATCGGCACACGTCCTCGGTACTCAAACGAGGAATGAAAGGTTGGACATGAGCCTAAAGCATGCGGCATCGTCGGTAAAGCGGGTGTGAGACTGTCGGTTGAGCCGAGCACCGTCACGCTCTGCCATGGCCCGGAGCAGCGTACTCTTGCCAACACCGTTGCGACCGATAAGCCCGTACCTGCTCAAGGCTGTTCCGCAATAGCCGGAGACACCAACATAGTGTGAGAGAGAATTCTCTGCCTGAGGTATAGTCGCGGCCGTAGGACAACAGCTATGCAGTGATTACGGTCTAATGAGGGTGATACTATACTATACCCAGGGCCCAGAGGCCATACAACCCTACCCTGGGGCGCGTCCAAGCACGGGCGCACTTGTGGCCCTGCGCCAGTCTCAGCGTGGCATTGTACAAGAGCTCCTGGTGAAAGCTCACAGACCCTCCGGAGCCAGCAGAATCACAACATGCCTGTCTCCCAGCAAAGACAACGATCTCACTGACCTGGATGCCACTGATGTCATTTCCCAGCAGCTACAGTGCTACACAATGCCTTTGCATGCATCTTGTGCCTCGATATCCATACTCGCACCGGTCTTGTTCGGTGCATCTGGACCGGTCCTGCCAATTCAGTTGCTGCTCCCCCAATTCGGAAGAACAGCGCAGCAAACAGAGCCGGTGTCCTTATTTGGAAGCCAAGCGCATCTGCCGAGAGACGCTCGGTTTTGCCATAGCCTCAGACACAAAGCGCACAAGCCGCCTGCAGCAGACGATTCGAGCAGCCAGCACAGTACTTTCATGCCTCCAGTGGCATCTTTCTTCTTTGACGAAGCTTTCGGTGCCTCCCGCTTTTTCGTATCCTGTCTCCTCAGAAAAGCAAGAAGTGCACGAACCGTAGCCGCATGCACAAGCAATGTCCTGCCCATCCTTGCTCTGCCTCCAGGGATGATAGGACAAACGTCGCAAAAGACTCCGGTGCTCTCAGCGGGCCTGCAACTCTGCGCACTCCAGAGTTCAGCGGCAGCAGGACAGGACTAGAGGGCGCCAGGCGCAAAAACAGCACGGCACCCCTCTCTGGGCTCAGGTCTCAGGTGCTTGTCAACTAGAATATTGAATCAGTGCCGCTATGACAGTCAGGTATGCTCGGACTGACGAAATGTCACGGCATGCAAGCCTCTGACTTGATGACAACTTGCAATCTCATGCGAGTACAAAGGCTTGCTGTGGTGTGCGCCAGGGTAGGAGGAGCACGCCCTTTGCCGCGAAGGTGCGGGTACTTGCTAGGCGCAGTACGCAGCGTCCTCACTGCTTCGGGAGCTCGTGGCTTCCAGCGAGTTGACGGTGTTGCCCCTTGACAGAGAGCATCGTGTGCAGGCCATGGTCGCCGTGGTCTTGTTCGCAGCCTTTGCCGAGCCTGGAGCTGACACTGGCCTCGACATCACCTCTTTCGAGGCATAGACCTCAAGACCTCAGCACGGCCCGTAGATGCAGCGTCGGTGAGCTGCTTCGCTTGCTGACCTCTCCGGTGGGCGCATCTGCAAGCCCAAGGCCTGAGATGCCTCGTGGCAACTCCAGGCAAGAAGCAGTTGAGGCTAACAGCTCGGAAAGTAGGGGCCACGGCTGGAGCAGGCGCGACCAGCTGCGATAAGTCCGGTGGCTGCGGCCTGCATCCACTGAGACATCGATGCGCGGCATTCAACAGCTCCGGAGACACTCGCCTGCGCACAGAATCCGCGAGGATCTCTGCAGTTGCGACTGCCTGCTAAAGTACAGATCAGCTCAGAGGCTTGACGGTTTCCGGCCCTTGACATCCCGCGGCCTCACTCTGCACGTCCACCGCCAAGGCATCACACTGCCAAGATTCAACTGTTGGGCCACAACCATACTGGCATGCAGTGATCCGAACCTGCAGTGTGTTGAAGAAAAAGATGGAGACTGAGTCCATGAAGAACTTGGACCGCGCCGAGTTGTGATCCCCCTCCACCATGATGAAGTTCTGACATGGAGCGCGAAGCAGAGTTTCACCAACAAGAGTCGAGCCTACCTTGTCACCAGCGTACGCAGAATGCAGCTCCCTGGCGTGGTGGGGCTTGATGAAATGGTCGTTGTACCTCTGACTTCGAGACATCGATTATCAGACCGTCGGAGCCCTCGAGTCTGCACGCGGCTGTGAACAGCGCGGGGATGAAAGACTGCGAGACATGCCTCCGGAACCGCACAGCTGCAGACTACGAGGTGTGCCCTTGTCAGCTTGCAGCAGTGTTTCACTTTCAGCTTCTGGCTGGACAGGCGCAAGGTCGTAGATGTCAAAATCGGCATGTGCACTGATGGAATTGCGCACCTTTGGGTTCACTGAGCTAGATTGTCTTCGGCGGTCACACAAGTGGCCTGGGCCAGGTAAGTTCTGCACCAGTTGAAGAGCGATGCCGATGACCCACCTGCGAGCAGGGTATCGGGGCTGGGACAATCTCGAGAAATCCGAGCCTTCAAGCCTTGCCTTGGCACCCGGCTGTTCGTGTAGCCATCCACCAATTCCTCGCAGAGGACCTCCCGTTTCTACCCAGGGCGAACTGGCCAGAGTTCACTTAGACAAGTATCGAAGGACCGAAGGCCTTTAAATCCGAGAAAGGACTGTCCAGGACCAGGCCCGCGATTGAGGGATCCCCTAGTCGTAGCATGACTGTGAAAGCAAAGGGAAGGCGACAGCTTGCGAGTGTGGCACGATCTGCATGAAGCAAAGCCGTGGAAGCACCCATCGACCTGCCCCACAGGCCTGGCAGTTAAGATAAAGACGGAAGGAGAGAAGGAAGGCTTCACACTCGCATAATGAACGACTGCCTATGCAGGTCACCCGGTTGGATTCCCGGAGGTGATCAATGACGACTGCAAGGTCGTCCCTTTCGTAGTAGCCAAGACTGAGATACCTGCGTCTACTTGGAGAGGCAGGATGGCCAAAACTACATCTTCCGAAGCTACGCTACTACATCAGCAGCAAATGCATAGTTTGATTGCAGCTTCTCCCTAGCCAGATGCCAGAACAGAGTAGAAAGCCGCAGCGAGCACTCGCCATCAGACAGACCGGAACCAGCGAAATCAAAGCAAAATACCTCAATAATCATACGAGCTCTGGAAGTTTTAGCAGCAGATCTCAGACTCTCAGCTTCAAGCGGTAATGTTGAAGGGCAAGAGCGCCGGTAACGTGCTCACCGCCTGTGATTTGCAGTAACCCAAACACAGAAAATCGAGTCTCTGCACTTTTTCTGGCGCCTCGAGGCGGCTGCTACAGTTCCCATGGAGATAAACGACACACGGAAGTTTTCCCGCCGGCCGTTCCCTCCAAGCAGCTTCGGCATTTGTTTAAAGTCAAACTCACATCTCGTCTTGCTGACCCTTCCTGCTGATGGGCTCGAAATGGCTGCACCTGAGTAGACCGTGATCTGAAGTGGTCTAGAACCGAAAAACAGTTCTTGTAGCACCGAGTCGAGAACACTATCGTCAAGCCGCGAGGATTCTTCAAAGAGATGTCTGTCCGCTGGAAAGTTTTGCTCCTCGGCTGCATGTAAGCACTTGCTGCAAGGTCTTGCAACTACTCTGAGCAGATGGCTCAATGCTGAAAACTGGTGGCCCCAGGTCCTGACGAAGCCGTGCCAGCAACCCAAGCTACGGGAAACATGACACTTTGCATCACAAGACACTCTCCTTCCAAAACTCTGACAGGAGAAAGACAGAGACTTCTGACCCACAGGTTAAAAACCAAGACTTGCATACCAAACATCCACAAAGCCCTCCAGCCGGATCCTTGATCTCATAATGATCGCGCGGAGGTCGAATGACCGCTTTCCAAAGTTCCGTGTATTGCCTTAATCGAAAAGGTCTTGCATCCTCGCAACACATGCGCTGGACACACCTTGAAAATGTAGCATCTCTAATTCCAGGACCCCACTCATGGATCTTGCCCAGAAAGTTCATGTCACCATGATGCTGTGCACGGACGGCGCATCCAGTGATGCAGCAGTGCCGCTGAATCTTGAAGCAGCTTACGCGAGTCTGTATAGTCTGCCAAATCTAGCGGAAGCCACGGCTGCACGTTTCAAACATGTTTTGCGAGCAAGATTTAGACATTCACGACACGTCATCCCAAAATGTCGTGAGATGGAAAAGAATTGTACAAGCTCCAACTCACTCATGGTCCATCTCTCCTTGACCAATAAGATGCTGTTCGTCGGTGCTCCGAGACGAATCGAACTCTGAAGCTCCATGCCTGTCGTTCTTCACCAGCTGAACCAACACAATTAAGCCATCTATTCATGGTGCACAACTCCACTTCTCCCTTCCACTATGTCTTGAATTTTGATCTCTTCATACGCTTGTTTTAAACTGGATTTGTGTGGAGCAGTGCGTTTTTCAGCCTTGTGGGGCACGATAAATAATAGAGAAAGTAGGCCTTTGGGCGAATTATTGCGGGGCCTAAAAACCGCGACAAATATCCTCGAAAACGACCTTTTCGACCTCCGAGATTTTACGATAGAGTTTTAGGGTGTCCCATAAGGCCGAAAAGCGACACAAAAGTCCTCGAAGCCGCTCTTTTCGACTTCCGAGATTTTTCACGA